AAATGAGTTCAGTTTCATTTCTCCGAAACTTTACATGAAGTCATTTTTCATGGGTATTGTCGTCGACAAAAATTTCTCATGGACTTGGAGGGAAATATAATTATCTTGTTATTACAGTAACAATCGATTACTTACAATAGGTACCACTGGTTGCCGATGTACTAGTTGCAAAAGGTAACCAGGGAGAGAAGAAAATCTCTTTCTTGCGTCCTTTTACTACCTATGTGCCTAGGCACAAGTTTAGTTATCCGTGCGTTCACTGAGATTTATTATTACTAGTGCGGTGGTTTGTGGTGTAAGTCTGATTTCCTTGGTCGGACAAATCTTTTACTCTCTTCATCTTTCATGTCCATAAACACAAGTGTACATTCTTCATCTTTCATGTCCATAAACTCAAGGTTGTACATTCTTCATCTTTCATGTCCATAAACACAAGTTGTCACATACATTCTTCATCTTTTCATGTCCATAAACTCAACGTTGTACATCTTCATCTTCATCTCATAAACTCAAGTTGTACATTCTTCATCTTCATGTCCATAAACACAGCTTTCACATTTCTTCATCTTTCAGTTTCATAAACACAAGTTTTACATTCTTCAGTTTCATTTTTCAGCACGTCTGTTTTTATTCATCACCTCATTTCATGACTATGGTCTTTTTACATGAATTCATGTCTTTTGCTTCATAAACATGAGGGTGATGAAAGGGTGAAGTACATATTTTCACTAACTCGACATCGTCATTGTACCTCCGGAAAAGAGAGTTTGGAAATAAGGTGCTGTACACACCTTTGTCCAGTCCAGCGACAACTCGACGTCTAGTCGTATCCGCGAGTCGGAGAAATCTAGAGACTTGAGAGAAGGACGATGTAAAGTAAAACACTAAACAATTAGTCAGCCGAGTCTCTACTTTTAGTCTTCTGCGAGACGTCTTCTACCCGTCCGACCGTCCAGGTGGTAAATTAAATAAGGGGACGTATGACTTCGGGTAGTCTCGACTGCCCGTTAAGGTACATGGGGGCGGAGAGTGTAGAGGGGACCCTGGGGACAATGAGGGGGAAAATGAGTCCCAACGGGGCGTATGGGGTGGGGGAGACTGTTTCGTTGTCTGTGTTTCACTTACCCACCCGAAATTAAATATTATAAGTTGTAAAAAACATAAATTTTGTTGAAATTTTTCTAGTATGGGCCGGGATCTACACAAAACCTCTCCTCCTACCTGAAAATCACAAAAACTTAATGACTCTTTTGACATACTCTTTTTTCTTTTCATTCATAATATCTTTTGTCTCCGCAGTTTATTACGAACTAAAACAACTAATCAAACGTATCCTTTAACCAATTGGATTTAATACAACGTAACATTAACGGACGTGGAGATTCCGTAGTGAGAGATTTAGACTCAGACTATGACTAAATGATTTATTGAAAATTAAAATTAGTATTAACATGGAAAACAGTGAGCCGAAAATCGTAAACAAAATTGAAAGAAATACCAAAAATTAATCTACACAACTAAATAAATAAATATATAATAAAAGAAACTTACCGTGAAATCGACGTAAAATATAATAATAAATATATGGAAAATATACAATATCATAATATAAATATTATATAAAATACTTTTCCAGGATAAAATTTAATGATAAGCAAAAATATAAAAAGTACAATGAAGATTAGTTGTTAACAACCGGATCGTTTACACAGAGAAATGAAATTAATTTTCCACTAAAATGTTCTTTTTTTACAACTTTTTGTACTTAAATAGAACTTTAATTTATAATTATTAATTTATTTTTCGTTTCATTTTTTTTCCAAAGTCGGTCATTGATTATTTTAATTTCACAAAATTTTTGAGGATTTTATTTTAGTAATTCTTCAGGACGTCCTTTATAAAGAGGTTTAAAAAAAACATGTAAAATCTTTTACTACTGATAAACACAAAGTGTCAGGGGGCCTGAACAATAACTTACATACTTTGACGTCACTTACGTCTGGCGTCACTTCGACGGCCCCTCTATTCTCCACCGCACCTGTTTCCTGTAATTTGTCCCGTACGAAATTCACGTCGACGAACGGGGGGACGGGGTGGGTGGGTGGGCGGAGGGTGGGTAAGTACGGTACAGCGACCCGCGAAATAGACTGACGTACATTTATTTAGGAGTCTCATTTCACAACGTGCCAAAACGACATTCTTAATACTAGAGTGAGTCAATTAAGTCCACTCCCACTCCCACGGCAGGGACGTCTCCATCGAGAGGGGGGAGGAGAAAGTGGTGTAGGGACGTTGTAGAGAAAAAGATGAACAGCGCGGGCGCAGAGGTGGGTCTCCTCATGAAATGTGGTTTGGTTTTGTATCTCGAACCCGCGTAACTTGTAACTGCGGATTCTCGTACGCCGATTTGTTCTACATTTCTATTTGTTCCCGGTTTTAGAACAGACGTTTGTAAGTCCACTTCTCCGTCAAATTCCATCGGTAAATTATCAGACATCTGTCTCGTTTTCTCTGACTGAGTTTTTCTTTTCATTCGTGTTCATTTCTCGGGACGATACGAAAAAGACCAAAAGTGACACAAGAATATCCAAAATACATTTACCAGACGATTCCGATTTTAGGGACACTAGCGGAGGTTTACCTGAGGAAACAAAATGAAGACATTTGCAATCACTGTAGTGAGCATTGTGAAGCCCCAAACGAGCTAACAGTTCCTTCCGACCGAGGTCTCGAGTCGACAAAGTTCCTACGATAGCTCACGGGCCGCTTCCTGACAAGGTTACAGGTCCGAGGAACCTTAAGATGGCCCGGGCCGCAGGAAGCACTCGCATTTTTTTCTCGTAAAGCTCCGGACGTCCGTACCACATACGGAGGGCCGCAGAATTTTAGGCGGTGTACGAAACGCCGTCGGCTGGTTAAAGGTTAGAACCCGCCTTTTAGGGAGGTAAATCCGCCCCGAGAGTATCCTGCGTCGTCGGTCAGTGTGGATAACGAAGCAAAAGGCTCCGATCCTTCCTGAACGGAGCGAAGACTTCCTTCACTGAGCCTTCTGTACAGGATGGTTCCTCCGCCGGGAGGCTATAACTCTTCCGTGGGCACACCGAGGTATAACCGACGGCGAGGTTGGGTAACATGCACTCATTCCGGATTCCCGCCCTCGTGAGAGATTACCTGCATGGTTTAGTGCCCGTTCGTCTCGGCCGTCGATTGGTTAATCTTCGTCTGACCCGAGACAAAAGTCTGTCTCCCACTTTTCTCCTCCGACGTCGTGTCCGTCATACTTCTTGTTATTTCTCGAAAAACTTCTAATTTCCTACCTCGTACATGCTCTGTGATTGTATACTATATGTGGGACTTCGTAGTCGTCTCTCCTGAGGAAATTTCGATCTCTCGTGATGTATACTATATGTGGCACTTGTAGTCGCCTCTCTTGAGAAATTTTCATCTCTGTGATGTATGACTATATGTGCGACTTGTATCGTCACTCTCCTGAGAAATTTCATCTCTGTCGATGTAATGACTTTACTTGTCAGTACTTCTACTTTCACCAGAGTATTTGTAAACACGAGTATCTGTACTTCTACTTGAGTAAAGGAGGTGTGTACTTTTGCCACCTCTGGATAATATGCAGACACGTGTCTGCAGAGAAAGAACCAAAACCTGAACCTGACCTTCTTCCACTCTGAAGGTCTGTGGCGCCCTCTGTTGGTCAAAGTGGTGTTAATGCAGTTTACTTCCAAAATCTGTCGAGACGGCAACACAGATTCAAGGTTCAAGGCTTTTATTGTCATGTGTACATAGCTACAGTTATGACAATGAACATCTTAGGTCACAGGCTCCTCCAACAATACAACAGATAATAGCAAGTAAATAATGAATAAAATATAATATAATAGAAATTGTGCAGAATAGTCTATAAAAGTACAGTAATTGTAATATTGATATATAAATTGCAAACAGATGAATGTTATGGATGTTCTTTCAAAAGTTCAGGTGTTTAACAGTCTTATGATGAGATCTTGTGATGATATTTAGTTAGGTTTGTTTGCACCTTACACATATATGTGTATAGAGGGAGGCTGTGGCTCAGTGGGTAGTGTGCTGGACTTCGAATCAGTGGATAGCAAGTTTGAGTCCCACTGCAGTCAGCATGTCGTTGTGTCCCTGAGACACTTCACCCCAAATTGTTCCCGTGGGGATTGTCCACAGTACTGAATGTATGAAAGTCACTTTGGATAACAAGTGACATGTAATGTAATGTAAAGAGAGACAGAGAGACAGTGAAAGAAAATCGTTGTTCAGGAGCAGAGGTGGAAGAAGTACTCAGATCATGTACTTGAGTAGAAGCACCAGAGTGTAGGAATACTCTGTTACAGTGGAACGTCCTGCATTCAAAATGTTACTCCAGAAGTAACACTCGCGGAGGAACAGCAGATGGCAGCATTGATGCATTCAAGAAACAACACACTCGTAAAATCTCGCCTGTTATTTCACTCAAATAACACTCAGCATATGGTGGAACATGTTATCAATGCAGAACATTAAATCAACTCAAGACCCAAAGTAGCATTTTGAATAATCTTTTAGAAATGTCTTTATGTAAACATGTGACTGAAAAACAGAGATATTGGACTGTAGGACCTTTTAAAAGCTGATTCATGGTTTCATAACACCTGTTTACTGGGATGGCTCTGGGGAGAACACTTCATACAATGAGGGTCAAATCTAATTCAAACATCTTCTTAACTATTTTGTTATTACTGTAGGGAAATGTAGAATAGAATAGAATATAATAGTTTAATGTCATTATACATGTACAATGAGATAATAATGAATGCTTCTCCCTTTCAAGGGTGCCATCAAAACAAAAACATCAAAACATAAGACAACAAAATACACGCAACATACATACTTGTACATGTAGGTGTTAAAACAGCAACAAGAATAAGAGTGAAACACAAGATAGGACCAATACAAAGTTCACACAGGACATATAAGAGTAATAAATAAGGATGAAACAGTATTTCTCAAAATACAGAACGGTTGAAAGGAGTAGAAGTATGAATAATTATAGCTATTATAAGTATATCTAAATGTCTATGTGCGTGTAGTACATACATGATAAGGCTTGAGTACCAGCAGCGCAGGTTGTATTTCATATTTATTTATTCATCCTTCTTTGTTAAACATTAAGCTGTCTTTGGCTCTTTTCTGATTCTGATTCTGATTGTGATTCCCTTTAGTTTAAATAAAAAGAGGATTTAGAGAGTGAGGAAAAGGTCTGAAGAGTTTCTGCAGAGTTTCTTCAGGGGGCACAGGTCAGTTCAGAGCGGATCAGGTGGAATAAAGGGGGGAAAGCTATAGGGGCAGTGTTGGAAGAAGTACTCAGATCTTTTACTTAAATTACAAATACTTTGGAAATAAAACACTCCACCACAAGTACTGATTTCAAAATGTTCCTTAAGTAACAAAAAGTGCAAAAACAGCATTAAGCATCCCTAAAGCTCATTAAAACACATTCGGGCCTGAGTGGCGCAGTGTGTTTGATCATCAGATCAAGGGGGCGCTGGGAAACTCCAGTTCGAAACCCGCTTCCGCCGCCACTGCGTTGTGTCCTTGGGCAAGGCACTTCACCCGAATTTGCTCCTGTGGGTATTGTCCACAGTACATGTATGATATTAATGTGGTACTCCAAAGCGCCTCGATGACCTTTGAAGGTGTGAAGAGGTGGACGTGTGGCGCAGTGGGCTTCTGCAAGGAGGCGACAACCCGCCGCTTGCCGCGTCTGTAAACGCCGTGTGCTTGGCAAGGACCATTCACCTGAAATTTGCTCCCTGTGGGTATTGCACAGTAGGCTACATGACCGTACATGTAATGTCTGATTGTATGTAATGTGAGGGCCTATCTGTAAGCGCTTTGGGTCAGGAAACAACGCGCTATAAAATGAAATATAAGGAATTATTATATTATTATTATTATTATATGTTTGCTAGTTTTAAAAAATGTCAAGGTTGAAAAACTTTAGTTTCGCATTTCATGGGAGGTTTGTTAAAATTGTGTGGGTCTTAGATTGCAGGAAGCAACTTATCGAAACACAAAACGCCCCCAAAAATGGTGACAAGTCACTGGACCCATTATATCAAAACAATTATTGAAAAAGTTTAGACATGGATTCCAGAAAACAGATTTGAACCATTTTTGCTGGTGAAACTACTTCCTCTATAACGACTGAACCTCCTGAT